AAGTAACCAAGTGCCTTTAGAGACATATCTGACAAGATAAGGTCTCAACACATACCTTTACTTTCTGGTTCTGTTACCCTAGCACCACCTGGACTTCTGCTGAGTCAGCTTTTAGAGGATGACAGGAGGCACGTCTAATTTCCACTATATGGGAGTGGAGACATTTTAGGGCACCTAAGATCTCATGCACTAGAATCTCACATACCTAAAAAAGATGTATGCGCTGACTATTTATGCTATCAGTTATCTGTTACAGTTGTTATTTTAACCTGATCATGTTAATAATCCTACAAATGTCTTAAAAGCAAATAACATAAATGAAAAATGATGAGAAGGAAGATACGATTTTGCTTTATTCGGTACATAATTTATTGTCAGCAATCGTCTGTTACATCAGGGGAAGCAGAAATTTTGATTGACCCCTTTTACTGTATGAGAATTGTTAAAGTCATACCCTCTGCACCCAGGGGCGGACTGACCATTTGGAAACTCGGTCAATGCCCGAGGGCCCGGGGTCAGTAGGGGGCCCCAAGAGATGCCCCTGGTACCTTTTTCATAGGCTTTTTTGAGTTTGGGCAAGGACACAGGGGCCCCGTGATCCTCTATTGCCCGGGGGCCCTATGAGTTGTCAGTCCGCCCCTGTCTGCACCCCTGCTGGTTACTCATATGTTACTAGGTTCTTTTTAGGCTTGGTTCACGCTAAAGCGTTTGTTAGTGCTTTTTGCAAATGCACTACAGTCCATTTAACATGGTTTCCTATGGGACACATTCGCATCTATGCTTTTTGAGCCACTCCGTTTTGGAAAGGGTCTTTTTTAAATGCAAAATGTTACATTTTTGGTTCAATAAACTTCAATGGAGATGCTGCAGAAACACATGTAGTGTTTTTTGATACATTTTGCATTTTTAATCTTCCCAGCAACAAGTTGGGCCAAAAAAACCTGCAATACACAAAAAGCATAAAATAACACGTAAAAATGTGCATAAAAAAAAATACAAAATGCACCGCAAACAGTATACAAGTAGACAAAATGCATACTGCATTAGTGTAAATCAGGCCTCACTCTATACCTGATGATTGTATCATGGTGTTATAGTTATTGTTGTATAGAAAATAAAGGCAACCATCACACTGTAATATTGTTCATGTGTTTTTTTTTATGAAGTTACATTGCAGGGAAACATTAATGTCTTCACCTTGCATACATTTTGAGTTTAAAGCTCCTGTAAGAAGTTTTTGGTTAATTTCATATTTGTGCTTGCTTGTTGTCAGCATACTTGCTGAAATCCTGTTGCGAGATAATCAATTAGCAGATAAGCCTCCTAGAGATACAACTATAAATCTTTTAGGAACTGAGCTGATGAGCAGACCCGAGTTAAAAGGAGGATTAAAGCACAACTGTGGTCAGTGCTACATTAAAATTTATTTATGTATCTTTTATTGAAGGTAATGTTTGTTTTATCATTCCAAAATACAGGGTAGATGGACAGTTCCATCTATTCACTTTGCATTTTAGCCCTAAATGAAATCTGCATCATGGCTGCAAACAGAAAATGATGGTGAATCTCATATCTCAATCTTTTCACCATAGGTGGAAAATAGTGGAAAATAAACCTTATTCATTGGAAAAATATCTGAAAATATTTCTAAAATGACCGGAGTTTGAACGGAGTTGCAAGTTGATGGGCAGGCCAACACTATATTGCGCTGCGTCTGCCTGTGGATTCGGAACATCATCTGGCCAACCCAGTTACACATTACTAGGAGCAGAGAAATGATAAAGGAAGCAGAGTGGCATGGCTCACTCTCTATATAGAACACACTACACACTGCTAAGTTGCAGAGGACAAACAAGCAAGGAAGAGCTATACCACATATACAGTGGGGATCGAACGTTTGGGCACCCCAGCTAAAAAATTTGTATTAATGTGCATAAAGAAGCCAAGGAAAGATGGAAAAATCTCCAAAAGGCATCAAATTACAGATTAGACATTCTTATAATATGTCAACAAAAGTTAGATTTTATTTCCATCATTTACACTTTCAAAATAACAGAAAACAAAAAAATGGCGTCTGCAAAAGTTTGGGCACCCTGCAGAATTTATAGCATGCACTGCCCCCTTTGCAAATCTGAGACCTGCCAGTGTCATGGATTGTTCTCAATCATCGCCTGGGAAGACCAGGTGATGTCAAGCTCAAAGGTTTTAAATGCCCAGACTCATCTGACCTTGCCCCAACAATCAGAACCATGGGTTCTTCTAAGCAGTTGTCTAGAAAACTGAAACTGAAAATAGTTGACGCTCACAAAGCTGGAGAAGGCTATAAGAAGATAGCAAAGCATTTTCAAATGTCAATATCCTCTGTTTGGAATGTAATTAAGAAATGGTAGTCATCAGGAACAGTGGAAGTTAAAGCAACATCTGGAAGACCAAGAAAAATATCAGACAGAACAGCTCGCAGGATTGTGAAAAAAACAATTCAAAACCCACGTTTGACTGCACGATCCCTCCAGAAAGATCTGGCAGACACTGGAGTTGTGGTACACTATTCCACTATAAAGAGATACTTGTACAAATATGGTCTTCATGGAAGAGTCATCAGAAGAAAACCTCTTCTACGTCCTCACCACAAAAATCATCGTTTGAACTTTACAAATGAACATATAGACAAGCCTGATGCATTTTGGAAACAAATTCTGTGATGAGGTTAAAATTGAACTTTTTGGCCGGAATGAGCAAAGGTACGTTTGGAGAAGAAGGGGCGCAGAATTTAATGAAAAGAACCTCTGTCCAACTGTTAAGCATGGGGTTGGATCAATCATGCTTTGGGGTTGTGTTGCAGCCAGTGGCACAGGGAACATCTCACGAGTAGAAGGAAAAATGGATTCAATAAAATTTCAGCAAATTTTGGATGGTAACTTGATGCCATCTGTGAAAAAGCTGACGTTAAAGAGAGGATGGCTTCTACAAATGGATAATGATCCTAAACACACCTCGAAATCCACGGGGATTACATCAAGAGGCGTAAACTGAAGGTTTTGCCATGGCCTTCACAATCTCCTGACCTCAACATAATTGAAAATCTATGGATAGACCTTAAAAGAGCAGTGCGTGACAGACAGCCCAGAAATCTCAAAGAACTGGAAGACTTTTGTAAGGAAGAATGGGCAAAGATACCTCAAACAAGAATTGAAAGACTCTTGGCTGGCTACAAAAAGCGTTTACAAGCTGTGATACTTGCCAAAGGGGGCAGTACAAGATATTAACTCTGCAGGGTGCCCAAACTTTTGCAGATGCCATTTTTTTGTTTTCTGTTATTTTGAAAGTGTAAAATGATGGAAATAAAATCTAACTTTTGTTGACATATTATAAGAATGTCTAATCTGTAATTTGATGCCTTTTGGAGATTTTTCCATCTTTCCTTGGCTTCTTTATGCACATTAATACAAATTTTTAGCTGGGGTGCCCAAACGTTCGATCCCCACTGTACATAGATGAGTGTACCTTGTATCAGGAGGGTTTAGCCCCAACCAGAGGATCTTCCAACCACAGATGAGGCTGAACCCCGATGGAATATGTGACAGGGAAGAGATTAAAAAAAAAAAAGAAGAAAGGTACTTCAAGCAAAATCCAATGCAGAAGACTTGCAGCAAGGACCAAAAAGGAGAACACTTTTTTGGGGGACTTATATATTTCTTTGGAAGAAGGTGATCCTGTTTGTTCACAAGGGTGGAGCTGACCTATTGTATGCTGACATGATGTGAGCCACAAAATCCTTCTAACAGTATTACAGACAAAGAGAAACATTGTTTTTAACTTAATTATGGGGACGCTAGAGCCCCCTTTCAGCTTTTTATTACCGTCTGTTTCCCTGCTGCAGATTTTTCCTCACTTCCTGTCTGAAATCCCCTGAATACATAGTGATGGGAAATCTCTCTATCGTCCCAGAACAGGTGTTCTAACATTTCCCCATAAATAAATACACTATAACTTGACAATTTGTACACAAGCTAATCCAATCATGCTTAGCAGGCAATTAACAATTAAGAGATGTTCTTCAAGACATGTTCTGTAAATATAAATGATAGAACATTAAAGAGGAATTTCAACCTCCCCACTAATATGTTTTTCTTCCCCACTCACCTGATGCTGGGGTAGGCAAAGTTCAGATACTCAACCACACAGCATATCGAGCATTGTCCTGCTGACATCCTCTTCTCTACAGATGCTACCAGGTCGCATGCCACCATGTTCCTGTGACATCATCATGAGGCTGGCCAGGCTCTTTTGGGTTCTGGAGCAGCCTTTCTGATGATGCATTGCTAAGCCCATCCCCTTTTGTTAGTGAATTGGGTCCCAGTGCCTTCTGGGATATGAACGTCATATAGCCTAGGAGGCACCCAGGGCTCTGGCATCAATCGCATAGTCCAGGGGTCTCCAAACTATGACACCCAGGTGTTGAGGAACTGCAAGTCCCATGAGGCTTTGCAAGACTTTGACAGCCACAGGCAAGACTCCCAGAGGCAGAAGCATGATGGGATTTGTAGTATTTCAACAGCTGGAGGGCCTTAGTTTGGAGACCTCTGGCCTATCCAAATGACATATGATTTGGAGAGGCCAAAAATGTGATCCTAAAAAAAAAAAAAAAACAAGTAAACAAACATTAAAAAACATGATATATGTGCAGCGGGGGAGTGGGCAGAGTGGAGGAGATGGAGAGGTGTCAAGTCCATTTAAAAAGATCCGCTTTAAATAATATTAAGTAATGCATTTTTTAAACGCCTCCCACCCGCCATATAAGTAAATGACGGGTGCAAGGCGGTTCTCTCGTTTTGGGTGGACGTCATATGACATCCACCCACTCTAACCGCACATGCGCGGCTCTGGGGGTGTGCAGCGCGGCGATCAGTGGTGCGCTGTGTCCCTCGGACACAGTGGATCACCAATCAATGGAAAGAGCCGAAGATGTCAGCTCGGTCATGTGATCAGCTGTGTCCAATCACAGCTGATCGCATGTAAATAGGGAAATGCCGGTTATCGGCATTTCTCTCCTCATGAGCTGTCACGCTGACAGCTCGTGAGGAGTGGAGAGCTGGTAATTGGCATCCCTCAGAGGGGACATGTACACTGAACATCAGGGCACTGATGATTAGTGTGCCCTGATGATCAGTGTAGCCCCAGCAGTGCCACCTGTCAGTGTCCATCAATGCCAGCTGTCAGTGCTCATCAATGCCACCTGCCAGTGCCCATCACTGACACATCAATGCCACATATCAGTGCCTACCAGTGCACATCAATGCCACATATCAGTGCTCATCTGAGTTGCCTTTCAGTGTCACCTATCAGTGCCAGTCAGTGCCACCTATCAATGCCAGTCAGTGCCACCTATCAGTGCTACCAATCAGTGCCACTTATCAGTGCCAGTCAGTGCCGCCTATCAGTGCCAGTCAGTGCCACCTATCAGTGCACATCAGTGCCGCCTATCAGTGTCCGTCAGTGCTGCCTATCAGTGCCGCCTAACAGTGCCAGTCAGTGCCACCTAACAGTACCTATTAGTGCCAGTCAGTGCCACCTATCAGTGCCACCTATCAGTGCCATACATGAGTGCTGCCTTTCAGTGCCCATCAGTGATGCCTGTCAATGCCCATGAGTGCCACCTATCAGTGCCCATCAGTGAAGCCTATCAGTGCCCATCACTGCAGACTCATTAGCGCACATCAGCGAAGGAGAAAAAATCACTTATTTACAAAATTTTATAACAAAAACTAATAAAAACATTTTTTTTTCAAATTTTTCATTTGTTTTTGGTTTGTTTAGCAAAAACTAAAAAACCAAGAGGTGATTAAATACCACCAAAAGAAAGCTCTATCTGTCTCAAAAAAGTTATAAAAATTTCATATGGGTACGGTGCTGCATGACCGTGCAATTGTCATTCAAAGTGTGACAGCGCTGAAAGCTGGAAATTGGTTTGGGCAGGAAGGGGGTAATAGTGCCCTGTAGGCAAGTGGTTAAACATCATTTAAATGATACTAGAAAGATCATTGAATAAAATATGACATATGAGGTTAAGTTTCAAGACTTTTTGAATGTTAAGTTTTGCAAGTTACAAAATTTTACCCTTTTGTTCATTTTTCCGGTATCAAGAATGGAAAGTTAAACTACTATTGTAATAATGGTACATATGGGGTAAATAAAAATAGCATGCTACAAGCTTGTTTTGAGGAATTCTGAAGTGCTATTTTCCCCCCCAATATTTGTAAAAGAAGAAATGTGAGATGGGAGAGAAAGTGAGATTAAAATGGGGCAATATGCCAAAGTATTGGTTTATATGCAAAAGGATATCATATGCAGCCTTAAAAAAAATGGAAGTTAACAAAGAAGAGAATTTTGAAATTTTTCTGATGTCTGTGTGTGCCTGGTACATTTCTGCAAAGAATGGAAGTTGTCTGTGTTGTCTTATACTGCTCTCTGATTCTCTCTTGACTTATTTTTGTTTTAAAAACCTGTCACAAGAGGCAAGGAGGGCAAAGCAGCCATGTTCACATACATTTAGATATTCTAATAGGTGGTATTTAAGGACAAGTTTAGAATCAGTGTGAGAGATATTTAATAGTTAAATAACTAAAAAATGTGGTAAATGCCTAGGAAAGAAAAATATTTTTTTTTACACTGAGCTAATTTACAAATCTCCAAATTAGGTTTAAATTAGCACAGATATTGTGAGATTTACTGTTTTGTTCATCCTTAATCCATTTTTTATACTTTACTTTATGCTGTGGTAAGTGATTGTGTTGCTTTAAATATTTGTAAGGCATGTCTTAGGTTCTGAAGAATCAAAATATTCATGAAATGCATAGACAACATGACATTATATTGTCAGGATATTTGACCTTCCTAATGTATGTCATAATTGTGTTTGTTTTAATTGTTAAAGTGGTTCTAAAGGATGAAGGTTTTTTCACCATCAAGCATTCTATGCATTAAGGAAAAAAAAAAAACCTTCAGCATGCAGCTCCTCCCACAGTCTCCCAGATCTTACCTGAGCCCCATCTCAATCCAGTGATGTGCACGGGAGCTCTCTTGAGATTCTCTTCCCTCATTGGCTCAGACACAGCAGCTGGTGTCATTGGCTCCTACTGTTATCACTCACAGTCAGTAAGGCGGGAGCTAGGGGTGGGACTCCGAAGGGGGCAATTGGCAAGAGGAGGGGCCAGAAGCACCATCCATGCAGCTGCTAGACAGCTGCTAGACAGCTCTCCTTCCTCTCCCACCCGCTGGCTGAAGCCGCTGTCAGAACATCATGATGGAGAGCAGGGGGGGGGGGGGTGCTGGTAAACAAGTGGTTACCAGCCCCCTTCCTTTCTTGAAGGAATACAGTCAGCAATCAGTACAGATCGCTCCTGTATTCTTTTATAGCTGGCACATAGTAAACTGTATTTACTATGTGTCAGTTTGTGAATGAAACATAGTAAATGTACTTTTTTGTTTAATTTTACGAATGAATAGAATTCTATACCGACTCCTATCCATACATCTACAGTGCAGCTTAGGCTGCAAAGAAAGGGACAGTCTTCAGTCCCTTTCTCTATTTCAAAAAAGTGACATTTGAGGTCTGTTTAGGCCCCTGATGTCTCTCCACCCCCCCCCCCCAAAAAAAAAAAATGTTTTCAAAATAATAAACAATAAATAATAATAGATGTACCTCTGCAAAAAAAAGAAAAAAGAAAACATAGAGTAGATTTAGACATGCGTCTATGTCTCCCTTACCTCTGAAGCCCAATCCACGTTCAGATAGCACTCCGGTGGGTCCTGACAGGCGGTGAGGAAGCGATACAACGCCTTCTCACAGCCTGTTTTAACTCCATTCCACCAAGAAATATGCCAAATCAGCATGCATTGTACCAGCTTGGCGTCTGTGGCGCTTCCCCATTGCCTTGAATGTGTAGTGTTCGACGGACGGCATCACTACAAGACGGGTCAACTTTGCTGCGGGCACGAAGCATCATGGCATCAGCACCCTGTCCACTGCCTATTGTAGCTTAAAGTGTTACTAAAGGCAGACTTTTTTTTTTTCAAATTAAAATAATGTTATACTCACCTGCTCTGTGCATTGCACAGAGCGGCCCCGATCCTCCTCTTCTCGGGTCCCCCTCTGGCAACCCTGGCTGCTCTGCTCCTCTTCTTTGTGTGTCCCCATAGCAAGCCATTTGCTAGGGAACACAGGCTGCGTACTTGATCTGGACCTATGTATTTACAGAGCTGGCCTCCATAGACACACACAGCAGAACTTAGCCCCACCCACTTCCTCTTCACCGCATTTGATTGACAGCAGCAAGAGCCAATGGCTCCTGCTTCTGTTTGAGTTCCTGTGTGAAGAGGAAGCAAGGGGAGAAGAGATGCAGCCATGCAGAGCCCTGATCTCTTTTCCCCTCTCTTCCTCTTCACACAAGGAAGGGGGGGCACAGGGAAACTAAAAACATTTTTTACCTAAATGCAAGCAATGCATGAATGAAAAACCTTTTTTATGTGCTTCCCTGTGCAGGTAAACACGGCCCTTCATGGTCATACGCTTTAGCACACGCCCAGTGAACGAGGCCTTGGTAGGAATTTAGCAGGAGTTTTGTAAGTTATGTTGTGGTTTTGTGTGCAAATAAAGATTTTAGTGTTTTTTTTCTGAAAATAGCGATTTGATAAACATTTGCGCAACTATTGTGGGGCCTAAAAAAATCAGTAGCACCTACTTTTTATTCTACTGGTCACGTGCTTTCAGAAAATATATGGTCTATTACAAACTCTGAAAACCTCCAGATATCTAGAAAAATTGGGTTATTTACAGTTTTGCTTACATTCGATTTTTGCCGTTTTGCAAAAGGACAGTTGAAAATTTACAAATATTTGTTACTTATTAACTCAATACAATTTTTTAGCGAAAATAATGTTTGATAAACATTTGCGCAAATACAATGGGTCTCTAAAAATCAGCAGCACCTTATTCTTATTCTACTGGTCATGTGCTTTCAGAAAATATATGGTTTGGGAGGTCTTTTACAAACACTGAAAGCTGTAAGGGAAAAAAAAGGAAGCAATGGAAAATGTGCAAAACTGGTCAGCCAGCTGTGTTAAAAAGTGGAGCACAGGGCCTGGCAGCAAAAGGATTAAAGTTCGTTTATAATATTCCCTTAGTTATCATAATTGAGACCAAAAAGCACAATATAATGTGTTTTCTTTTTGTCAAATAAATATAAAATATTGCCAGATTTTTTTGTTAGACTCCTTTTCACATGTTTTTTAATACCTTTTCTGATGTAAAAAAACTGTGCGTTTAGGAACTCAATAGCTCAACTAGAAATGAACACACAAAAGTGAGAGAACACACAAAAGTCAAAGAAATTACTCAGCCTTTACTGGTCAATTCTGCCTAAGGTTTTAGTCACAAACAGGGAGCCTAAAAGCAAGAAGATTTTGCTTTTATTGCCTATTATGATAACCTATAGTGCTTTGTGAATCCTTTGTCATGTATTATATATTTATTTGAAAAGCAGACTTAGAATGTATGTATGTATGTGCATATATATATATATCTAGTGTGTGTGTATATATATATATATATACACTGTGTATAGAATGTATGTATGTATGTGCATATTATATATATATAGTGTGTGTGTGTGTGTGTGTATATATATATATATATATATATATATACACGGTGTATATATATATATATATATATATATATATATATATATAAAAATTAGATACGGGGTTCCTGAATTGATGCAAAATTATTTACTTCTTGATCATCACAATATTGGCATATTAGCAATTGAACAGTTTTGAGCAACAATGCTCTTTCTCAACCCATGTGTTGCAACAATCAATCAATCTCGATACCACATCTCCTTTTATCCATATATGATTTTGGTGGAAAATTGGAAGACCATCTCTGATGTGGAATTCTGGAGTGATAAGTAACAAGCGTGACTCACCTTTTTCTATTATATACTACATACATATATATATATATATATATATATATATATATATATATATATATGCATTTTTGTATTTTTAATTTTTTTAAGACATTTGCAGACTAGTATTTTATATCTTCATAATAATGATGATATAAGATACTAGTTTGTAAATGTCTTAAAAGAAAACAAACCAAAAATCATTTAGCTTCCCCTTTAAAGATAAAACATTTGAGATATATACCTACCAGTTCTCTATGTAGAGTTGTTGGGAAATGTAAAATTTCATGTCTGGGTTAGTTTTCCCACTAAGGATTATTTACTTTGGCTTCCTTGCATTTTACATTACTTGGTAGTTTGTTTGTTTGATATATCAGCAATATACTTTAGTTTTGAGATCCCTTAAGTTCACTAGTCATGTAGTATTACAGTA